ATTAGTACGTGCTAGAAAATTTAAGATATAATTATAATATATAAGTTTATCCAGTGTATACTATATTTCATAAAATAATGCAATTTAATTTAATGTATATTTCATAAAATAATGCAATTTAATTAAATTATTGATTTACATTGTACAATATAAATAACAAAAATTTAAAAAAAGAACATTAAAATGTGATTTATTTGCAGAATATTTTATATAGGATTTTACAACTATTCGCTTTTATAGAGGATAAAAATAAAATGAGTAAATTGAAAAAAAATAAATTCAATAAATTGCATATCATTTTATTTATAGTATAAAAATTGTACTTATAAGTAAGTAAGAGGAAAATTTAAATACAGTTTTTATATAAATAATGTAATTAAATTTAATTTAAAATTTATATATACGTTAATTATAGTAAATAGCGTGCAGTGATATGTTAATGTAAAGTTAAATCTCATAAATATTTAAACACTTAATGAATATAAATTTGTATTTAAAATATTATTTCTATTAATTATCAACATTAAACTAAAATATTTATCTTTACTGATTTTATTTCCATTATAAATGTCAATATTTTATTAGTCAATATATCTAAATTATTGAAATATTTGATATTTTAAAAATTATGTGATTATAAAATTACTCAGTAGTAATCAAAATAAGTCGAGATCAAATTAACTGACAGATTTCAATATAGGTATTCATTAAGATATTTATTCATATGATTAGTTTCTACCTAAAGAATATAAACGTAAAAGCGTGGATTGCATAAGATATCATAAGATATTTTGTTATCGATTCGGACAACTGGAACGAATTGCTGCTGATTAAAAACGCTTGTCGCATGGCCATACAAAACAAACACATATATATGTAATAAAAGAGTAAAAAAAATAGTAATAATTAATTATCAACATCATTAATTAATAATAAATACATATCTAATTTTATTATAAGTATTTATAATTTTTTCAATTTATTATAAAAACTACTAATCGCGAGTAAAAAATTTTTGAAATATCGATTTCTTACAAAATAATTTAAATATATTTTTATTTTATTACTTATCCTTACTTTCTTATTAAAAGCAGTTTTCTTATTAAGCAGTTTTCTTATTTCTTATTAAAAGCAGTACTTATTATTTAGTATTTTTATCGAAAAATTAATTTTACTAATTTATCAATCATTGTAATAAACATATTACATATACATATGTGTATAGATATGTATGTATGTATATATGTATTTTTTCGAAAGAAAGAAATAAGTTAATAATTTTTATTTATCATAAAATGTATAATATAACATTGATATTGATACCAATTGGATTGTTTATAACATTTTGGCATCGTACTTGGTGGAATATTTGGTAGAAAAAACTTCGCGCACAATCTTATATAAAACTTATATAAGGTAATGTTATAACCATAAAAGGACTTTCTTTATGTGAATAGTATATTTTATCGTGCGTAAAAATTGACACGACATGTTTTATCATACGTAAAAATTTACTCTATTTTTCATCCTATTTATTCTTATCGTATGTTTATTTCATGTATTCATGTGAAGAAAAACAGTTCTCAACATAGAATAAATGAAAAATGAAATATTTAATTGTATGTGTGACTAAACATTTCACATTTTCTATGTAGTATTCATAATACAATGTTATAAAGAAAATGTTAATAATAATTATAAGAAATAATTCAAGCGGTTATTTTTTGAATAAATTATTTCACGTAAACATATATGTTTGTTTGAATGATATAACCGTACATAATGAATATATTCAATTATTTTCTTCTTTCATAGTATATATAATATAGTAGAGACATATATTAGCATTTTATATATATATAGCGAGATATCATATGTTTATGTGCTATATATATGTACAGGGTGTTTCATCAACATACAGCTCAATATGACGGGTTGTCCGCGCTCATAGGCGCGCAAGAAAAATAAAAAAAAACTTAAACTTAATATAACTCTTAACATCATATCAATAATTCTCATCATATCAATAATTCTCATATATTATATATATGATTGCAATAATATTATAATATAATAATAATAATATTATAATATTATAATATTATTGAAATCATATGTAGATAAGGATTATTGATATACATGTTAAAATGTTATGTACATGTTATATAATAATAATAATAATATTATAATATTATAATATTATTGAAATCATATGTAGATGAGGATTATTGATATACATGATAAAAGTTATATTATAATAATAGTAATATTATAATATTATAACATTCTTTTAGATATATACTTTCAAATATTCATGTCACAAGTTCACTATTCTGTGTAATTTAATTTTTTCTTCTAACAGCTTATTACGCGAAAATGTACTTTGTCGAAAATTTACGCAAGTAATTATATTATCTATTCCTATACTATATTAACTATACCTGCCTCCTATATTAACTATACCTACCCCCTTTACTAACTATATTATCTATTCCTGCATTACCGGTCTTGCGCTTCTATGAGCAGGCAACCCGTATTGAGCTGTATGTTGATGAAACACCCTGTACAACGCGTGCGTATGTATCTATGTACACAAATAATTTATTACTTAAAACATTGATAAATATGTGATTTTTAATATTTTTAATACTATCAAAAATAAAAATAAGATAAATTTATTTTATTATTAATAAATTTTTAAGTTATACATATTTTCGTTAATATCATTGCAAAAATATGAATTTAAAAATATATATCTATTGAGATCTATTTAGAAATATATATCTGTTAATTAAAAATAAAAAATAACAATGTTTATGTAATATTAAACGAACGCAATATTAATTATAAAATATAAATTTATATTTTTATGACAGCGTAATTGTGAATCTTGCTATTATATACTTAACATAATAATTACTTCCTATTATTATTACTTCCTATTATGATACTTAACAAAATAATTTATATTGAAAAAAATAAATTTCTGTTATTACAACATTTCTCAACATGCATGTGTTTTTATTTTTTTATCAATAGAATAGCAACTTCTCTTTAATATACATTTAAATAAAGATGTGCCCAGCTTAAGAATTCAATTGAATTCAATTCATCTCTTGATTAACCATCTCTTGACTACGACAAAGATGAGTAATATCATTTAAAAAAGGTAATATACAATCATTCTGAGCATAGATATTAATGTAGAGTCATTTTTAATTTTTTCAATATGGAAAAAGCTTTTATTGGATTCCAACATAATTTGTAAAATGCATATCTCATGTCTCAAAATATCGTATTATAATATAACTCAAGAATACTGATCTTTTTTTCAATACAAGTTGCATAAATTATTTGAATTGTATATTTACATAATGTGTAAAAAATGAAGCTTAGTTATATAAATTTTAATTTTAAAAAAATTATAAACTTTAGTAGTTTTGTATGTATTGTAAAAATTTCATCTTTTATATAATGTGTATCATAATATATACATTATATAAGAATATCGTAAAAATATACTCTTACAACATGTGTATCTTAGTTTCTATTAAAAATCTGTATTATTATTATTTCTGTATTTAATATTTAAACAAGATAAAACGAGAACTTTTTGAAAAACTTTTTGAAACGAGAACTTTCACGCATCTATCATTTAGAAAATTTAAATTATCAGATCAGAGTGAGAGAGAGAGAGAGAGAGAGAGAGAGAGAGAGAGAGAGAGAGAGAGAGAGAGAGAGAGGAGGAGGAGGAGGAGGCGGAGGAAGAGTAGGAGGAGGTGTAGGAAGAGGAGGAGGAGGTGTAGGAAGAGGAGGAGGAGGTGTAGGAAGAGGAGAGCGTAGTAAGTAGATCTACTATATAATGATTTGTAATAAGATCGAAACTGTCCAACTTTCAGATATAATCAATCTGTACTTAGAAATTGAAAGAGGAATGAAAATAATATAAAAAAAAGAAAATACATTCACAAAGGAACATTTTTTGTAACTAAAATTAATAATATTCAATAATGCAGTACTAAAGTTTTTACCAAGCTTTATTATATATATATATATATATATATATATATATATATATATATGTATATATATATATATGAAATGAAGATCTTCTCTCTTGATTTGAAGTATTCTTTATTTATATTATAATACAATATTTTGAGACATGAGATATGTATTTTACAAATTATGTTAGATTCCGAAATAAAAGCTTTTATTAATTGTGATGAACAAATTTTTAATATATTGACCTATATATTTTTAATATACTGACCTTTGGATTCATGTTTTCAAAATTGATTAATTCAAATAATCAAAAATGCAATTATACTTTTTATTATTTTAATTAAATCATTTATTAATATTTTTTATTTAATTAACTTTTTAATTTAATTAACTTTTCAATATATTTAATGTTTTCTCAATGATAGCATATAAGTGATAAACATATATTCCTGCTAATATCATAATTTCCTTAAAATTACTGATAAATTATTAATTACATTGTATTTTTACATATAATAATATCGTAATATTCTTAAAACATGTGTAACATTCAGTTTATATTAAAATCCTTATCGTTATCTAATATTTAAACAAGATGAAACGAGAACTTTTCGAGATCATGCATCCATCATATAGAAAATTTAAGTTATCAAATTAGGATCATGGCATAATATTATCTATTAAAAATTTATAACAAGATCGAAACTGTCTAACTCTTAGATGTAATCAATATTAAATAAAAATCTTAATGTACTTAGTTTCATTTAATTTGCTTTATTTAATTTGCTTTCTGTCTTTGAAAACTGATTTATTACGAATATGAATTAAATTATTAATTACGAAAACAAAATATATACAATCCCTATTTGTGATAAATTTGAGTTTTATTTTGAAATAAGTTATAATTATAGAAACGCAAAGCTTATAAATACTAACGAGACGGAAACTTTTCATATATATGTTGCACTATGTTCGCACAATTTGTATTTTCTTACCAAGTACGATCCACATAACGATGATATTGCCACCAGTTGCGATCAGTAGTATCACCGCGAATATCAGCGACCAAAAGAGCTTCTGCCACCATGGTAAATTAAATGGCCGTTCCTGATTGATGAAAATACAATCCGAGAGCGCCTCTCGAAGGATATTAGGTTGAGTTGATTTATTCAATGCTTCCTCGACATAGTGACGAAATTCGCCATGATTTCCTTTTAAAAGCAAGGTAATATTAAGTTCCAAAATCCACACACTACAATTGTATACACGTTGCAAAGTCACGTTATTCATATTCGTAATTGTTGTCAATAATGTTGTCAATTTGTAATTGTTGTGATTGTTTTCAATATTTAAAGTGTATCCCGGAAAACTTTATAATATCACTCTATATTGAAGTTTTTTTTGAATAGCACATCGAGTTAATTTTATTAATTGTTATCAATTTCTCCCGTTATGTGTAATGAATTTATGTACGTTTGATCATCATTATTGTGGTTTAAAGTAGCTCATCCTTATCAGAGAAACGTGCACGGCTTTATACGGCTAAATACGAATTTACGGCACTTGATTGAAATATAATCTCATATTATTCGTTGTTTAATCAATGCGACCGACATTAATGATTTTCCAATATATAAAATTTGTGAAGTTTACCAAACATATATTTCTTATTCGTGTTTTTTTAATTTATTTTTTTACTTTTTATCAAATATTCTTTTAAGCTTATTATCTCCACTTAGAAATATAATAATGAGATTGCCTTTTCAGAATAAATGCTGTTTGCAATAATCGTCTTTTATCACTTTATCTTACAGAAACTTCGGATAACTAGTTCATGAAGCCAACTAAAAATTCATTTTATATAAATCGAAACTGAATAGTTTGTTTCAGCTTCACATAAATTTTATTATTGTGTAAATTAATGTAGAGTATATTATATTGTTAAATTATGTTGTGTTTCTTAAGAATCTTTTTATTCAAATAAAAATCTTACACTTTTTTCACTTTTTTCACTTTTTTAATTTCACCGATTTCATTATATCGAATTAATTATATATTGTGTTATTCATATGTAGTTTTTTAAATTCTATATTATAAATATTTGACATTTATTGTTAAGACTTTAAATAAATATTACACCAATTAAACTTTGAAGCATATTTTATAAAATACGCATTATATAGCTACGAACTACAATTTTTTCGTAAGATTTTTTTCTCATTCTGTTAAATTGTGTTTTGCGTTTATTATATATTTTAGCGCAGTATTATTAACTGGTGTATTTTTCTCTTTTCGTAATTGGTCGATGAAAGCCGTAAATTATTGACAACATAATCATTTCAAAGTCATTGTCATTGAAGACAATAAACAAAGTTTATCATGTTGCCTCCGAGATTTTGATGGCACATTTCCGCATGTTTGTCAAATATTGATTGTCGATCGATCCCCGTCATTTATTGGCTCGCGAATTATTAATTAAGTTGTCAATTATCACTGACATTATTAGAGAAATATTTGCGTGCATGTCACGATCTACATCACTCTTCTGACAAATCAAACTGAAGAGAACGAGAGAGACAATCGGTAACGGTATCGTATCCAAGAACTTCGTCGGCGAAACTGAACGCCTCCAAAGCATGTTCATTCAGAGATGCGTGCGCACTATGCGCACTCTCGCATCCCTTTCCTTTATCACCTACCCTACCCGGGCGAGACTTTCCACTTGGACACAAGTGTCAGCTGAAGGGAAAATACACGAGTGTTTGCGTCGATTTGAGCTAGATATCAGCACGTCGATTTATGACAGCTGTTCCTCAGGATAAAAGCTGAGAGATTCACGCCACCGTGCAGTGAGATATTTTTCAAACTCAACAGATGTTTTGCATGCAAAAATGCAAGAGATCTAAGATTTTCCGTAAGCTTTAGTTAGATTCTTATTTCGAATTGCTACTGAAAACTACTACGTTTTATTGTTATTTAAATTATTTTTTTAATTTACTTCATATTATTTTGTTATAAAAAATATAATTTTATATTTTAAAAAATTATTCGCAGTTTAAGTATAATAAGATAAAAATATTAATAATAAATTAATTAATAATAAAACTGATATTATTTTTAATATAAAAATGTTTTACAATATATTACATTTTATATTTTACAGAATTATATTCATAAGATTATATACTAAATAATCTATTAATAGAATAATTAATAAATTATTTAATTCATTGTTCTACCTTTTATCTATCTATAATTATATATAATTATATATGTATAATATATACACACACACATTTTAAAAGGGTTATACGGGTGATCTGGGACACCTTGTATATATTACATCGAATACTTATTAACAATTATTTCAAAAGCAAACATTCATAAATTTAAGCATTATGATCACATGCAAACATAAAAGAGTAATAATATACGTTTTATATACATATATATATATATATATATATATATATATATATTCTAGTCATATTATACGTAATATATATCCATTCGTAAAAAAAATTAACGTTGAACATCTATGCGTGTTAAATATCATTCAGAACCTACTTTTAGAAATACACGAATATTTGCTTTGCTAGCAAATCTTTTCATAGCGAGGTCGTAAAGCATAAAGGGAGGAATATATTTCTCGGTTCGAACGATAACAACTGTTAACGCAACTGTTAAGCTGAAAAAAGAATGCTTAATAAGAAAAAAAAAATGCTTTGTGTGCGAAAATATTGTTACACAGTAAGTTATGTAATTTCATCAAAAAATTTTTCTTTTGCTACTTTTTACGTATATAAAGTAAGACTTTTCATGATGTTTTTGCAGAACTGTGTCGTGACGTTGATAGAACTTTATCTTCCGCATCTGTTTGATATCCGAACGATCTCTACGCTGACAATTTATTGTGGAGAATGTCACTTTACTTATCTGGGTGAATAAATATGATAGTAAACGCAACCGTATTTCTTCGAAAACGATCGAGTTGTAAAGTTATATACGCTTGTTATAACAAAATAAATAGAACCCGCATCTAACTGCGTGATGCAAGTCAACTTTACGATCATGTTCAAATTTAACTTCGTTATCTGTCACGTATAAAGTAATAAAAACCATTATTGTAAAGTAATAATAACTTATTGCACACTAGTTGCAACGAACTACAATAACGTATTATTACGCACTATTTATAATAAATGTTTTTAATTTCAAAATTATTAGAAATGCTTTATAAATAAAAAAAATTTATCAAATGCATAGCTACATAGATTTTTAAATGCCATTAGAAAGACATTTAATACACACTTTCAGTGGTTCGAACATCATATGTAGTCTATATGTCATTCTATGTATAATATATTACTATTCGCGTCAAGCATTCAGTTTTTCTCCCTTTGGAGAATGTTTGTTGAAAGTCGCCTGTGCTATTGACGTTTCTCGTTTGAAGTTGAGTATACAACTCCCAAAATATTTTGCTTGGATCTTTGACATGCAAAGAGAAACATGTTATAAGCGGTAAAAAAACTTATTTTGGAAATTAATCACTCGCGACAGAATACTATTATAGTGAATGTAAAACATAAAATATTCCATTACATTTACTTTTATAAAATGTTTAAACCATTCATATATACATTCTATTTTATAAATACGAAGAAAATGAAGTAGAAATAAATATAAATTCTATATGAATATAGGCATGATTCGAAACAAATATTTGTTTGTTAATGTTATCACAAAGAAATTTTCGAATAAAAGGTGATAAATATGATATACAATTAATTTTTAATGCAAAAGTTTAAAATTATTTTAAAAAATTATATACAAAGTTTCATGATTTATATAATTATAGCATACTTTTTATTTAATTTTATGATATATTTGAAAGCTTTGCTATATCAAGAAGCAAAAAATTTTATTGTATACATTATGGTTTTAGCCAAGTAAAATTATCTATAGAAGTAAAGTATATTTAAATGAAGTTGAAACAAGAGTTTTATTTAAGTGAAGTTTATAGGAAATGAAGTTAGATTAAATACAATTTTAATCTAACATTTGTCTTACAATTAGAGAGAATGCAAATTTAAATCAATTTACTATAATCAATTTTTACACATACAAAGAATGCTTCAAAAATTCTTTCTTATAATTTAAACAAATAGTGATATAAACAAATATAATTAGGGAATTTGCATAACTAATAGCAAATATTATTTATTTATTATTTTAATATTTTATATATTTTATAATTATAATATATAATTATTTTAATCTTAATAAATGGAAAATAGAAATTAACAAGTTTATTATTTATTTAAAAAATTTTTTAAATAAAAGTTATCTTAAATAATAATTTTTTAATGCTGAGATTTTTTAGATAATACAAAACAATAAAAAAATTATTTATAATAAATTTTAAATTATTATTAATATTTCAACAATTTTTATGGTTGCTAATACATACATTAAATTATTGCGTTGAACAATTTGCGATGTCTCTATATGGAATTTTACCTAAATTCGATCCTTTTGAATACCATTTTACTGAATACCATTTTCACATCTTGTGGTTTCTGCAGGGCTATTCTTTAACTTTTAACGCATGTGTTACGATATGGCTATCTTTTTCTTTCTTAATAAGTAAAAAAAAGACAAGCATATCATAACGCATGCGTTAAAAGTTACAAAATAGCCCTACTGGTTTCTATTCACTTCAATACACGTAGTACGTTCTGCACTAGGTATAATTAGACTAGTATGTAACTAAATTATTTGTCATTGATTTTAGTTACGAATTTTCCCGTACAAATGTCATAGTTACAAACAGAAAACTAAGTTGTAATAGTGTGAAGGAAATTAATGTTTCACATTTAAAACAACTCATTAAAATGCATATAATTTATAATGGGTTATGAATAATTTCGTCATTAATATAATAAAATTTAGTATAATACGTGCTAAGTAATTAAACCTGTAGTTAAACGATGATAATAAAATAATATATATCATTATTATCTTTACTACATCATTATTATGAAGTTTTCAAAATTCTTTATAATATCACATCTGATATTATTTCTACAATTGTACTAAATTTCTATAAATCATATAATATATACAATATATAATAACTTTAAAAAGATAAAATAATATAAAATTGATTAGAGAATTAATTAATAAATTAATTAATGATTTTATATTGTATTAGAAAACTTCCTTCCTATAGAAATATATTGTATTAGAATATATATATTATATTAGAAAAATTCCTTCCTAATGCTTCAAAATTATTAATTAGAATTTAACATTTAGCAAAACATGTATTGATTTACAAACAATAGCTTATAAAACTAAATATTCTTTTCCAACGTTTAGTGTAAGCTTGTTCTATTATTGTTACCGATCGAACATTCTAAATTATTGAAAATTAAAAAAAATTGTTTAGCAAATTTATTATATATTGTAATTGTAATAATTTAAACATAATAATGCATGAGATGGATGTAAATATTTGTATATCTTAAACATATACCTTAATATTTTAACTATATTATTAACTAAACAGGTTATCATCTGTTGAACAAATCATGCTTTTAATATAACAAGTTTTTATAAATTTAGAATTGCTACAATAATCTTAG